TTCTTTACAGCACAGATATGGATGAGAACGTCTAATCTAAAATGCAAAATTCCAAAGCTTCTAAACCTGAACTTTATAAACACTAGCTTTGGTCTTCAGAGCATTTCAGTTTTAAACAGGATTTATAACCAGTAAGTCTATAAATGTTCTCAAATATAAGATTCAACTCTGAAATACTTTTAGAACCAAACACTTCAGATAAGATACTCAAACTGTTTTCTAATGTAAGAAATGGCTCCACATTGAGTAAACATTCAGTCAGAACCTGTATTATTTGGATTTCTGACAACACTAATGTCTACAGCTCACCTCAAGCAGGCAGGTGCTGTATTGGTTGCTGGTCTGAATTTCCAGTGAGGAAACAGCAATCATCACAAGGACAAAAGAAAAAGGGAAAATAGAACCACATGCCTGCTGAAGAAGCTTTTGAATTATTAGATACAAACTGAAGTCTAAAACTGGCTATGAGGCCTGGACAGATGGCTCAGCAGTTAAGAAAACTGGCTCCTCTTCCAGGACTTGGGTTCATTTCTTAGCAGCTGTAAAGCAGCTTACAGTAACCTGCAATGTGGGATTAGATACTAGGCATAGACATACCTGTGGTTCACAGACATACACAGGCAAAAAAAATAACACCCATATATATAAAAATTAAATTAAAAATAAATAAAACTGGCTGTGGGTTGAAGGCACCAGTTTTCCCAATAATCACAGTGGGACAGACCTAAATGTTTTCCTAGGTGGCACAGGCCTCAGCACTCATCTGAAAGAAATCCCACCCCCACATGTCACATGTACACACCAACACCAACCACCTAAGATCACTAGGCCTGTCTTTTTCAAGAGTTTATTCACAACTGTGAGGACAGTTTTTCTAAGCAGTGTTAAATACTACCACACAGTTATATGCAGAAAGACAACTACCTAGGTTGGGTTCACATTTTCTACCATGCCTGAAGGTTAATATTTTACAGGAGTCATCTCAACTTCAGCCTGTATTTCCAAGCCATCTTTTCACAAATCCGTTCAAAAATTAATTTGTAAATAGTTAAAGAAAAGAGTCTTTGCTATCCTTGTTTACTTTCAACAAAGCTGGATGTGCTGTACAGAGCAGGCCTGCTTGTTTGGATCAGCTCCATGGATGACACACTGCCATTTTGGCAGATGGACCCTTACACCCACAAATGCACTGCACAAGCTGTATTTTAAATTTCTAAAATATTTTTGTTTTCTGAGTATGTATTTGCACCCATAGGGGTAAGGTATACAACCACCACAGCATGCACGTAGAGGTCAGAAGACAACTTACAGAAGTCAGTCCTCTCCTTTTATCTCGTGGGTCCCACAGACTGAGCTTGGTTCATGAAGCACCTATCCCTGTTGAGTCAACTTGCCAGCATTAGTAATAGCTCAGCAGTTAAAAACACCTACTGTTCTTGCAGAGGATCCAGGTTCAGTTCCTAGGGCCCATATAGTGTATAACAACTATCTGTTCCAATTGATCTATTCCTTCTTTTGGCCTTGGCAGGCAAGAGGCATATACACATAGGCAAACACTAAATAGGACCTTTCTTTGGTATTATTTATTTGTTCAACAGCTGTACTAACATATAAAGGCTGATAAGTTAAAAAGCAAAACAACAACAAACTGGCATGATACACTCGAGCCTGTAATTCCAATACTTAGGGGGTAGAGGCAGGAAAATTGCCATGAGTATGAGGTCAGAGTGGACTAGAGTAGAAGTACTTATCTCAAATAAAACAAGAGCCTGGCAAGTTGGCTCAAAAGATAAGAGTTTACTGGTAAGACTAATGACCCAAGTTTGATCGCTGGTATCCACTTGGTGGAGAAAATCGACTCCGACTCCCATAAATTGTCCTCTGACCTCTCCAGGTGCACCATGGCACACCTGTGCCTGAGCACACAAATTTAAAACAAAATAGCAACAAAAACAGCTATCACAACAACAAAAAAGGAAGGCAGGGAATAGATTTTGAAAATTACAGATCATATTTAAAACAAAACAAGGAAAGCCCAGCAGAACAAGCCCTTCACGGTTATTACATTCTTGCTCACCCACTGGAAATATTCTGTTCTTAATACTTTACTTTTTTTAGGCTTTTACAGTAAAACATACTATGTTAAGGTTCATTTGTTTTCTAACCTATGAGAAGCATAGAAGATAACTAGAAGATAAAGCCCTTACCAACTATGAACTACATCTCATTTGCTCTCAATTTGCATGTTTTTGCATTTGATTCAAATGTTGTTTAAAAAAAGCAGGAAAAAAATAGTTGTAAGGAGTCAATGTACTCATGGCTCAAGTTGTCTGAGTTTGACCCAAGAACTCTCATCCCCCTACCCGCCCCCCCCCCCAAAAAAAAGGTCCCAGAGACTTTCACAAATCTCTTAGGACAAATTTTCTTCAAGAATGACAAATGACAACTATGTGACAGGCTGACTATACAGGCTGATCAGAACCTAGTCAAGTTTCTTTTAAGGAACCACTAGGGATATCTGTAAATATGAAAAAGCATTTCATCCATTAAAAGCTTGTTTTAAAGCAAACACTACTTTTTTGTTAGTATTCAAATAATTAATACAAGTGAGTAGCTCTAAGGTTTTTTTTTTTTTTTAAGTTTTATTCTAATTGTGTAAATGTCAAAGTATATCACCAAGAAAAACAAGTCCTTAGGGATCCTCAGTAATTTTAATTAAAAAGGAGAAACACTGAGTCAGATCAGTTTGAAACCATCAGGCTGTAGCAACCATCTTCATCTCTCTGGAAAAGGAAGATAGCAGCAAATAGAAAGTCAAAAGCAAAATAAAGTCAAATTCATGACTCCAAGTGCTTTATCAAATAATAGTACTATAATATTTTAGACACTAAGAGTATACACATCTCATTATTCAATGGTTTGCATATTCAATTTTACACATATTCAAATTTAAGTTGAAAAGCCACTTAATTTTATATAACTGTACAATCTTATATAACTTAGGTAAACAGAACAATTTAACTGCTCTACAGACTAATGTTTGGCTAGAGTTAGTGTACTATTCCCAATTTATCTCACTATCCAAGATGTTGCAGTTATTAGGCAGTAAAAACAGTATACATATGCTTCTAAGCTTACCAAAAATCTTATGTGTTAAAGGATACAAGCTGTCACTTCTTTTATACTATTCTGAAGACTGGTGTGTGCCTGGCATACTCCATGTTTTTATGAAGTTCACTAATTCTAATTCAGACTCAGAAATAATACTCAGTTTCATAAAACTCAAGAACTGTTTTATACTCCTTTCAGGCTGCAACTAGGAGAAGCTATTTTAGAGGAGGAAGGAGACAATAGGAACAAAGAAACATGAAGGACAAGAGTAAGGGAGAAGCAAGAAGCAAGTGAATATGAGCAAAGAAATTCATGAAAGTTATGAATTTATTTTACATGCTAACTAAAAAACTAATTTAAAAGAGTATACAGTTGATTCCCTCCTATTATACCCTCATTTTCTCAAATTATTAAGTACTTGTACACATCTTTCAGCCAAAATTATGAGTTAAGTGGCCACTGTAGTAATTATACACATATGGGCAAGACCTCTAGTAGCTTCAGCATGCAAACCTGTCTGTACCCAAAGCATTTCTGAGTCCTGTGCCAGTGGAAACACTTGCCAAGCTGTGATGCTGAAACTGTGTCTCTTAGCATTTCTGTCGCTTGTTCTGTCCTTGATTGACAAACTGCTTTTGCTCTGTAGCAACATACCTCTAGTAGATGCCTTACATTTAGAAAGCACTCAATGAATGCATTCATTTAAGGCTAAAGAGTGGTAAGAGAGAAAAGAATTATTACATTAGAAAAGGCCCCTCTCAAACAAAATAAATTCAGATGAAAACCATGCAACACAATACTTCACCACATCTTCTGCTGATTTTACATGTTCAAAGCTAAGGTTTCAAAATATTGTACTGTGATGAA